TGGGAAGGGATGATAAAAGGATGAGGGGGAGACTCCCGGGTGCAACCTGGGACCCCTTTTATATAAATGGAAATATCTACCTGTTCGAGGTTGGAGAGAAGGACAGGAAGATGGCGCGATACTTGGAGAGTGGGAAGATGAGAGAGAAAAGGGAGAGATGAGGGTAAAGAGGGGTGAATATGAGGGAGAGGGGAAAAGAAAAGGGGGGTAGAATCGGGGTCGAAGAAAATATAGACTATCCAGAGTACCCCTCCAACGATATATATGTATATATATAATATATATGTACTAGGAGAGAATGTCTGTTTGCCTGTCCAAAGTTGGAGGCCAGACACTTGCGGCTAGTCTCACGCAAATTTGTAGGGTAAATGGTCTGGGGTAGGGGACGAACATGGGCTCGTCGATGCAGTCCTAAGTTAAATGCTTTTACAAATATGACTAATTATACACTCTCCTAGACCATTGTCAGGGAATCTTTCGTTTATGAAGTGTAAAACATGGTGTGGGGTTAACGTAGAGTTATTAATGGAAAGAATAACTAATGGAAAATGAAACAAAGAGAAGAGATGAATAAGCAAAGCATCTGAGACTTGTTTAGTGTCAATATTCCTTGAAGAGGAAAGCAAAGGAGAACGAGGGGAGGAACGAAAGGTAAGATAGACAGAGATATATAAACAGCGACGCAAATAGACAGAGATATAGCTAGATAGAAAAAGAAATACAGATAGGTAGAGAAAGAAGGGGGGGGGGGACAGAGATAGATTTTATTTATTTATTTATATACACAAGAGTTCTTACTTGTACAGCCAATCAATTACGGGCTCACCATAGCCCGTGCTACTTGGGACATTTTGTTCCAAGTAGCGAATCTTTAACAACAAAAACTTGTACAGCCAATATCATGCGTTGCGTTTTGGGCAGGTCCTTAATGCTAATTTTCACACACACACATCCCCAGGAAGCAGCCCGTAGCAGCTGTTTAACTCCCAGGTACCTATTTACTGCTAGGTGAACATGGGTATCAGGGTGAAAGAAAATCTACTCATTTGTTTCCGCCTCCTCCGGGGATCGAACCCAGACGCTTAGGATTACGAGCCGCAAGCGTTGTTCACTCAGCCGTCTTCATCCCAGCACTACAAGTCTTCATCCCAACATTACAAGTCATCATCCCCACACTACAAGTCATCATCCCCACACTACAAATCATCATCCCAACACTACAAGTCATCATCCCCACACTACAAGTCATCATCCCAACATTACAAGTCATCATCCCCACACTACAAGTCATCATCCCAACACTACAAGTCATCATCCCAACACTACAAGTCATCATCCCAACACTACACGTATTCATCACAACACTACAAGTCATCATCCCAACACTACAAGTCATCATCCCAACACTACAAGTCATCATCCCAACACTACACGTATTCATCACAACACTACAAGTCATCATCCCAACATTACAAGTCATCATCCCCACACTACAAGTCATCATCCCAACACTACAAGTCATCATCCCAACATTACAAGTCTTCATACCAACACTACAAGTCTTCATCCCAACACTACAAGTCTTCATCCCAACACTACAAGTCTTCATACCAACACGACAAGTCTTCATCCCAACACTACAAGTCTTCATCCCAACACTACAAGTCTTCCCGTCTACACTACAAGTCTTCATTCCAACACTACAAGTCTTCACGTCTACACTACAAGTCTTCATTCCAACACTACAAGTCTTCACGTCTACACTACAAGTCTTCATACCAACACTACAAGTCTTCATCCCAACACTACAAGTCTTCATCCCAACACTACAAGTCTTCATACCAACACTACAAGTCTTCATCCTAACACTACAAGTCTTCATCCCAACACTACAAGTCTTCATACCAACACTACAAGTCATCATCCCAACATTACAAGTCATCATCCCCACACTACAAGTCATCATCCCAACACTACAAGTCATCATCCCAACACTACAAGTCTTCATACCAACACTACAAGTCTTCATCCCAACACTACAAGTCTTCATCCCAACACTACAAGTCTTCATACCAACACGACAAGTCTTCATCCCAACACTACAAGTCTTCCCGTCTACACTACAAGTCTTCATTCCAACACTACAAGTCTTCACGTCTACACTACAAGTCTTCATTCCAACACTACAAGTCTTCACGTCTACACTACAAGTCTTCATTCCAACACTACAAGTTTTCACGTCTACACTACAAGTCTTCATTCCAACACTACAAGTCTTCATCACAACACTACAAGTCTTCATCCCAACACTACAAGTCTTCATCCCAACACTACAAGTCTTCATCCCAATAATTCAAGTCTTCATCCCAACACTACAAGTCTTCATCCCAACACTACAAATCTTAACCTCAATACTACAAGTCTTCACCTCAGCACTACAAGTCTTCATCTCAACATTACAAGTCTTCATCCCAACACTACTAGTCTTCACCTCAACACTACAAGTCTTCACCTCAACACTACAAGTCTACATCCCAACACTACAAGTCTTCACCTCAACACTACAAGTCTTCATCCCAACATTACAAGTCTTCACCTCAACACTACAAGTCTTCACCTCAACACTACAAGTCTTCATCCCAACACTACAAGTCTTCACCTCAACACTACAAGTCTACATCCCAACACTACAAGTCTTCACCTCAACACTACAAGTCTACATCCCAACACTACAAGTCTTCACCTCAACACTACAGGTCTTCATCCCAACACTACAAGTCTTCATCCCAACACTACTAGTCTTCACCTCAACACTACAAGTCTTCACCTCAACACTACAAGTCTTCACCTCAACACTACAAGTCTTCATCCCAACACTACAAGTCTTCACCTCAACATTACAAGTCTTCATCCCAACACTACAAGTCTTCATCCCAACACTACAAGTCTTCATCCCAACACTACAAGTCTTCACCTCAACACTACAAATCTTCATCCCAACACTACAAGTCTTCATCCCAACACTACAAGTCTTCATCCCAACACTACAAGTCTTCACCACAACACTACAAGTCTTCATCCCAAAACTACAAGTCTTCACCTCAACACTACAAGTCTTCATCTCAACACTACAAGTCTTCATCCCAACACTACAAGTCTTCACCTCAACACTACAAGTCTTCACCTCAACACTACAAGTCTTCATCCCAACACTACAAGTCTTCATCCCAACACTACAAGTCTTCACCTCAACACTACAAGTCTTCACCTCAACACTACAAGTCATCACCTCAACACTATAAGTCATCACCTCAACACTACATGTCTTCATCCCAACATTACAAGTCATCATCCCAACACTACAAGTCTCCACCTCAACACTACAAGTCTTCACCTCAACACTTCAAGTCTCCGTCCCAACACTACAAGTCTTCGTCCCAACACTACAAGTCTTCATCCCAACACTACAAGTCTTCATCCAAACACTACAAGTCTTCATCCCAACACTACAAGTCTTCATCCCAACACTACAGGTCTTCATCCCAACACTACAAGTCTTCATCCCAACACTACAAGTCTTCATCCCAACACTACAAGTCTTCATCCCAACACTACAAATCTTCATCCCAACACTACAAGTCTTCATCCTAACACTACAAGTCTTCAACACTACAAGTCTTCATCCCAACACTACAAGTCTTCATATCACTACAAGTCTTCATCCCAACACTACAAGTCTTCACGTCTGAACTACAAGTCTTCATCCCAACATTGTAAGTCTTCGTCGCAACATTACAAGTCTTCATTCCAACACTACAAGTCTTCATTCCAACACTACAAGCCTTCATTCCAACACTACAAGTCTTCATCCCAACACTACAAGTCTTCATCCCAACATTACAAGTCTTCATCCCAACACTACAAGTCTTCAACACTACAAGCCTTCATTCCAACACTACAAGTCTTCATCCCAACACTACAAGCCTTCATTCTAACACTACAAGTCTTCATCGCAACACTACAAGTCTTCATCCAAACACTACAAGTCTTCATCCCAACACTACAAGTCTTCAACACTACAAGCCTTCATTCCAACACTACAAGTCTTCATCCCAACACTGCAAGTCTTCATCCCAACACTACAAGTCTTCATCCCATTGCTACAAGTCTTTACCCCAACACTACAAGTCTTCATCCCAACACTACAAGTCTTCATCCCATCGTTACAAGTCTTCATCCCAAAACTACAAGTCTTCATCCCAACACTACAAGTCTTCATCCCAACACTACAAGTCTTCATCCCATCGTTACAAGTCTTCATCCCAAAACTACAAGTCTTCATCCCAACACTACAAGTCTTCATCCCAACACTACAAGTCTTCATCCCAACACTACAAGTCTTCAACACTACAAGCCTTCATTCCAACACTACAAGTCTTCATCCCAACACTGCAAGTCTTCATCCCAACACTACAAGTCTTCATATCACTACACGTCTTCATCCCAACACTACAAGTCTTCATCCCATTGCTACAAGTCTTCATCCCAACACTACAAGTCTTCATCCCATCACTACAAGTCTTCATCCCAACACTACAAGTCTTCATCCCATCGTTACAAGTCTTCATCCCATCACTACAAGTCTTCATCCCAACACTACAAATCTTCATCCCATCGTTACAAGTCTTCATCCCAACACTACAAGTCTACCCCTCTACACTGCAAATACCCAAACACGAATCCATTATTTAATTGTTTAAACACCTTAGTTAACATCTCAAGCGAAAAAGCTGTCAATCAGAACTTTTTGTCCATATCATGCAAGTATTTACAACACCTTTCACTTAGCATAGAAAATATATCGCAAAACTATATAGACGAAGAACCCTTCAACACTTTCTGTAATACTCTAAGCTGTCACTTAAAGCTTTAGTTCTGCCTCAGTCACATTCAAACACTTACTCTCCAAAGATTATAAAATACATCGGTTAAAGACTCACTTTCTTGGTCACTTTCCGTGTGTGGAGGGTGGAGAGAGGGGAGGTGATGGGGGGTCGTGTTGACGGCGGTGTCCCCTCTTCAGCACTGACCACAGGGGGGCAACAGTGTGGCACTAAATACCCTGTGCCACAATGCCTCCCGACCTCTCCCCCCCTCCCCCGTCCCTACCTCCCTCATCCTCCCTCACCTTAATACCCCCTCTCACCCCTCCACCTCCCCCTCCCGGCAAGGTACCCCCTTCCCCAAAGCAATGCGTCCGGGATCTCAATCCCCACTGTACCCTCAGGCGGCCCCCATATATCTCAAACCTAACCCATATTGTAGCACCACGGTGCTCCTCCTCCAATATAATGATGCCATGCATACTACAGTTCCACTATGTCCTCTCCCATATTACGGCATTACGATAACTCCCCTTCCATCTGTCTACCTGTTTGTTGTTGTTTCGAGAATCAATGTCCCCGCGGCCCGGTCTGTGGGCAGAGCTCCTAGATGATGGTCTGGTCAACCAAGCTGTTAGACTTCTGCTCGCAGTCTTATCCATGAATCCCAGGCCGGTTGATCAGGTAATCATTTGAGGTGTTCATAAAGCTCTTTTTGAACACCATGAGAGGTCGGTATGTTATGCCCCTTGGGTACAGACGGAGAGTGTTGAACAGTCTCGGGCCCTTGATGTTGACAGAACTGTCTCACCGCATCTATTGAACCTCTGCTTTTCAATGGGTCTATTTTGCACTCCTGCCATGCCTCCTGGTCTTGTAAGGAGTTATTTCTCTGTGCAGATCTAGAACCAGTCCCTCCTAATATTTTCCGTACAATTATATATCTCTCGCCAGCGCTGTAGTGTGTATATAGTTTGAGAAATTTTAAAGGTTCCCAATAACTTAAATGATTTATTGAATGGATTCTGACAGTAAAAAGTCCTTGCACGTTCTCCAGGTCAGCAATTTCTCCAGCTTTGAATGGGGCTGTTAGTGTGCAATAATATTCCACCCTAGAGGGCACTAGTATCTTAAATAAATACCATCATTGGAATGGCGTCTCTTGTTTGAAACGTTCTTGTTATCCAACCTGTCTTTTTTTTTTTTTTTGCAGTTGTGACCATTACTTTATTGTGTTCTTTAAAACTAAGATCCTTCGACATGATTATTTCCAGATCTGTTGTATCCCCTCTTCTTTCTGCAGTGTGCTTTGACTGCGCTTTATATGCGGTTTCCCTTCTGATAGTTTCGTTATTACTATAGCGCAGGACTGAAACTTTTCTTCATTGAACAATATGAGATTTTCTGAAGCCTATTGAGAGACCTGATTTGCACCAGTTAGGTCGTATGCTCTGCCCCTCTATATTGTCTATTCTCATACTATGCCCAGTGTCATCAGAAAAGGATAACACTGTGATCACGTTTGTATCCTCGTCTATGTTCGGCTTGAGGAAGAAGGGGATAATATTGGGGAAGACTAGCACCCTGTGGGACTGATCTCTTCACGTGGAGGTGGTCTGGATTTGACTTTATTCATTATTATTCATTGCCACGATACCCCCCATCCCATGTTACAATTCTACGGTACCCCTCTCCAATATTACAGTACTACGATAACTCCTTCCATCGTCGGGAGGCGGAGGGGGGCCTGTCATACCCTCTTTACGATACTGTGGCACCCCTTCCCATATTATAGTACTGTAATACCCCATCCCATATTACAGCACTACGATAACTAACTCCCTATGTTACAATTCTACGATACTCCCCCTCCAAGTCTTCACTTAATATTAAAGTACTGCGATAACCTCCTCCCATATCATTCAAATAATTGAGCGTGTCAGGGGACAGGCAGCTGGAGTGTATTCATACACGTTAGGCTTATATCGAGGTCTCCCCCCCCCCTCCCAAGGTCGAATTACTGACCCCGCCCAGGATGCAACCCCAGAACAAGTTGACTAACTCCTGGGTATACCACCTTACTGCTTGGTGAACAGAGGCATTAGGCGATAGGAAATGCGCCCAACCATTTCAGTCACGCCCGGGGATCGAACCCGGGATCCCTGAGTGTGAGCCAGCCTGTAATTAGTCTAATACTCCACAGCGGACACTTGTTAGTGGTACACCGGCTTGTAGGTCACGGGCTGCTGGCGTCTGCCTGCTTGCAGCACAGGCATCACCTTAGCTACTGTTCTGCCACTCCTCTCTTGTCAGAGAGAGCCTCTAGGGTGTTGTTGTTGTTATTATTATAGATTCAGCTACTCGAAACAAGTTCCAAGTAGCACGGGCTATGGTGAGCCCGTAACTTACCTGGCACAGGAGCGGTGCTGTGCTATGCTATAGGGTGTGGCGAGGGTGCTCTTGTGTACTCATGAGGTGTAGTGGGGGGTGAGGTGGTGCTCAGGTAAGATGATACTAGGGGATTAGATTTTGTCCCGTGGCCTTTCCGTGTGTACCAAGGCTGCTACGTGTTATTATTGTCAGCATAGAGGTGTTTGTGTGTGTGTGTGTGTGTGTGTGTGTGTGTGTGTGTGTGTGTGTGTGTGTGTGTGTGTGTGTGTGTGTGTGTGTGTGTGTGTGTGTGTGTGTGTGTGTGTGTGTGTGTGTACTCACCTATTTGTACTCACCTATTTGTGCTTGCGGGGGTTGAGCTTTGGCTCTTTGGTCCCGCCTCTCAACTGTCAATCAACTGGTGTACAGATTCCTGAGCCTACTGGGCTCTATCATATCTACATTTAAAACTGTGTATGGAGTCAGCCTCCACCACATCACTGCCTAATGCATTCCATCCGTTAACTACTCTGACACTGAAAAAGTTCCTTCTAACGTCTCTGTGGCTCATGTGAGTACTCAGTTTCCACCTGTGTCCCCTTGTTCGCGTCCCACCAGTGTTGAATAGTTTATCCTTGTTTACCCGGTCGATTCCTCTGAGGATTTTGTAGGTTGTGATCATGTCTCCCCTTACTCTTCTGTCTTCCAGTGTCGTAAGGTGCATTTCCCGCAGCCTTTCCTCGTAACTCATGCCTCTTAGTTCTGGGACTAGTCTAGTGGCATACCTTTGGACTTTTTCCAGCTTCGTCTTGTGCTTGACAAGGTACGGGCTCCATGCTGGGGCCGCATATTCCAGGATTGGTCTTACATATGTGGTGTACAAGATTCTGAATGATTCCTTGCACAGGTTCCTGAACGCTGTTCTGATGTTAGCCAGCCTCGCATATGCCGCAGACGTTATTCTTTTTATGTGGGCTTCAGGAGACAGGTTTGGTGTGATATCAACTCCTAGATCTTTCTCTCTGTTCGTTTCATTAAGTACTTCATCTCCTATTCTGTATCCTGTGTTTGGCCTCCTATTTCCACCACCTAGTTTCATTACTTTGCATTTACTCGGGTTGAACTTCAACAGCCATTTGTTGGACCATTCACTCAGTCTGTCTAGGTCATCTTGTAGCCTCCTACTATCGTCCTCAGTTTCAATCCTCCTCATAATTTTTGCATCATCGGCAAACATTGAGAGAAACGATTCTATACCCTCTGGAAGATCATTTACATATATCAGAAACAGTATAGGTCCAAGGACTGACCCCTGCGGTACTCCACTCGTAACGTCTCGCCAATCTGAGACCTCACCCCTCACACTGACTCGTTGTCTCCTGTTACTTAGGTATTCCTGTATCCAACGGAGTACCTTCCCTTTCACTCCAGCCTGCATCTCCAGTTTTTTCACTAGCCTCTTGTGTGGCACTGTGTCAAAGGCTTTCTGACAATCCAAAAATATGCAGTCTGCCCACCCTTCTCTTTCTTGCCTTATTTTTGTTGCCTGGTCGTAGAATTCAAGTAACCCTGTGAGGCAGGACCTGCCATCCCTGAATCCATGTTGATGCTGTGTTACAAAGTTCTTTCGCTCCAGATGTTCCACTAGCTTTCTTCGCACAATCTTCTCCATCAACTTGCATGGTATGCAGGTTAGGGACACTGGTCTGTAATTCAGTGCCTCCTGTCTATCCCCTTTCTTGTATATCGGGACTACGTTAGCTGCTTTCCAAATTTCTGGCAGTTCCCCTGTTGCCAGTGATTTGTTATACACCATGGAGAGCGGGAGGCACAGTTCTTCTGCTCCTTCCTTTAGTATCCAAGGGGAGATTCCATCTGGACCTATAGCCTTTGTCACATCCAATTCTAGTAAACACTTCCTTACTTCCCCGCTGGTAATCTCAAACTCTTCCAATGGTTCCTGGTTAGCTATTCCCTCTCTTATCTCTGGGATTTCTCCTTGCTCCAAGGTGAAGACCTCCTGGAATTTCTTATTCAGTTCCTCACACACTTCCTTGTCGTTTGTAGTGAATCCTTCTGCCCCTAACCTTAATTTCATAACCTGTTCCTTTACTGTTGTTTTTCTCCTGATGTGGCTATGCAGCAATTTAGGCTGAGTCTTTGCCTTGCTTGCGATGTCATTTTCGTATTGTCTTTCTGCCTCTCTTCTCATCCTAACATATTCATGTGTGTGTGTGTGTGTGTGTGTGTGTGTGTGTGTGTGTGTGTGTGTGTGTGTGTGTGTGTGTGTGTGTGTGTGTGTGTGTGTGTACTCACCTAGTTGTACTCACCTAGTTGTGTTTGCGGGGGTTGAGCTCTGGCTCTTTGGTCCCGCCTCTCAACCGTCAATCAACAGGTGTACAGATTCATGAGCCTATCGGGCTCTGTCATATCTACACTTGAAACTGTGTATGGAGTCAGCCTCCACCACATCACTTCCTAGTGCATTCCATTTGTCAACCACTCTGACACTAAAAAAGTTCTTTCTAATATCTCTGTGGCTCATTTGGGCACTCAGTTTCCACCTGTGTCCCCTTGTGCGTGTTCCCCTTGTGTTAAATAGACTGTCTTTATCTACCCTATCAATCCCCTTCAGAATCTTGAATGTGGTGATCATATCCCCCCTAACTCTTCTGTCTTCCAGCGAAGTGAGGTTTAATTCCCGTAGTCTCTCCTCGTAGCTCATACCTCTCAGCTCGGGTACTAGTCTGGTGGCAAACCTTTGAACCTTTTCCAGTTTAGTCTTATCCTTATCCTTATCCTTTGTGTGTGTGTTTGTGT